AATCCTGTTGAAGTGTGATTCCCACCTCTCAACTGTCTGTGGAGCTATATTGAGAACAGGTGCCCCAGAGCCCATCTGTGACCCTCTGAGGCTCCTCTAGTATCGTCCGATGTTTTCTTGGTCGAGAAAATGCTAAACAGCCCTCTAAAAGAACTGTCCAGTACTGCAAAAAAAAACAACCAACGCGCCTTCTCCAAAAATGACATAATGACTGTCATTTTTCAATTTACAGGAAGAAATAAAAGAATGGGATAAGATTTGATCAATGTCGAGGGCTTTTTTTTCTCCCTTATTTTTTTTAAACCTTTGGCAGTCTCTGTTTCCCCACCTGCGGCAGCTCGAGAGCTAGCCTGTTCTCACAGATGGCAGGGTGAATGAATGAGCAGAAAATGAATATGAACAGAAATCTTGGAATGTAATTTCATAAAATTATTTCATGCCCGTGAAGGTCTTTGAAGGGTGGGAGAACTTTGTACTGTGTCATCTTCTTTACAGAGATTCCTGCAGGCTGATCCTTCAAGGATATGACCACTGTCCCCAGTGAAACCAGAAAAAGCATGCGTAACACCCTCCGATTGCTGCTGACCCCCAACAAGCCCAGCTGTTGCATGTCATTTGTTTCTAACCAGGAATGGTGGCTTTTCATTTGTTTACAAAAAAAGCCCACACCCTGAAAATGGCTATGAGTTAGAGTTTGGGAAGGGGTATTTGGATGTCTTTCCTGTCTGAACCTGTTCTCTCTGTTATGCTCAGTCAGCTAACTTACCACCCTTATGGGTCATTTGTCTTTAATGTGATTCAGACTTCTGTAGCTTCTTTTCAAAAGGAATTACAGCCAATTTAAAATAGGCCTAATACAAAGTGATTGGTTGGCGGGCACCAACTCATACGCGGCTCAAGCAGCCTTAGAGGGGAGAGACACCAAGACCCAGTGGGAAGAAGACTGGGATCTGTGCCCCGAACTTGTCACTCCATGAGAATTTTCTGCCTGTCCTCTGCATACCAGGCACTGGGCTGGACACCTGGGGGTTTTCTGTCAAGAAGGCACACCTTGTTTTCAAGAAGCTCAGACTCTGGCTGAGAATCTATGCGCTGGTCTAGCAATGGAGGCTGGGATATGCTGAAGAGAAGCCTTTGCAGCCGCACAGCCCCATCCAAATCCCAGCCACTCCAACTGGAACATCCTGGGCAAGCTCTAGAACAGTGATGGCGAACCTGTTACCAAAATTGCAACTCCAAACCCACTTGTTTATTATAAAGTGCTAACACTGATTAAACCTGAATACTGAGGTTTCAGCTTAGAAAAAAACAACTGCTGTCTGATGCTCAGCTGCTGGGGTGACTTGGTTCCTGTACCAACAGAGGGGACTCTGTGTGCTCACTGTGACACAAGTGCCACCACGCCTCTAGAACTTCTCTGAAGATCAATTTTCTTCTAGAAGAGATGAGCGTCTGCCTCCTTGGTTTGCTGTGAAGGTAGTCAGATAAACTGTGGAAGTGCTGCTGTGATGCCTGCCCCATGGAAGGTCACAGATGACAAAGAAGTCCCCCCACCGCTACACGCCAACTTCATCAGGAGGGGCTGCTGTTGGAGTGTCATGGATTCCTCGTACATTCTGGCTCAGTAAGATAGAGATCTATGCTCAGTTGGTAATGTCTGGCACAAGTGAAAGAGGTAGTGGCACATGCACCACCCAAGTCCAGGAGATGCTGGGCTCCCTCTGCCTGGGCCAGCATCCACAGACTTCGAGCTTCGAAGACTGTGTGCTAGTGGGGAAAATCAGGTATGCCCAGCTGAAGACATGTATCACACAAACAGTGCAATGGGACTCCACCCCGGAAGACCATTAGCAAAGCCTCCCTTGGCTACCAAGAGCACCCCCTGCCTCACCTGCACATACAGGAAGAGAAAGGCAGCACCTTGGAAAGCTAGGCATCCCTGGAGCATTCATCCCAATCAGCACTCATTCAAAAGAAATGGAAAAGCCCATCTCAAATCTGTCTCCTGGAGGGTATGGTCCTGCAGCACACAGGTAGTGCTAAGCAATGCCACTGAATGAATTGTTACATATTGAAAGGCATCAGGACCCATCCATCAACTGGTTCTAAAAACATGAACTAAAGACCTACCACTCATTCACACATTAACTGTATGCTCAATGGATTCCTGACTTCATTGAGTACTGTGTGCCTGCCACTATTCTATATGCTGGGGAGGGAAAGAAAGCTCAAATTTCCTGTCCTCGTGGTGCTAACAATTTAATGTATGGAGACCAAGGAAAGGATATACATAAGTTCAGATAGGCATGAAATCATTTCAGACAGCAGTACACGCTATGTGGGCAGAGTCATTCTGAAGAAGTAAAATTGAGATCAACTCTGATCAAAGGAAAATAGCCACCCAAAGATCAGAGGAAGTGACATTCTAGAAAGGCAAGAGGGATAGATACAAAGGCCCTAGAGTAGAACAGCCCATTCATCCAAAGGGCAGAGTTTATGGGCTGGGTTAATGCTACTTCCAGGTGCCTCCATGCCAGGGTCCACACCAGCTGAGCAAATGTTTCTGTATGGTTGATGGGTAAATCTACGGTGGTCAGTTAAGCCCTGGTCATGACAGACCTTGTATACTGAGAGAGAGAGAGAGAGAGAGAGAGAGAGAGAGAGAGAGAGAGAGAAAGAGATCATTCTAAGGCAGAGAGAGGTGATAGCAATGGACAAGGGTAGGAGGCACACTCATAGGAAGCCATGACAATTGTCCCCAAGATGAGGTAATGAGGGCTTGACTTAAAACAGCTCTATGGGGGTAGGAAAGCAGGACAGTTTCCAAATATATTAAGAAAGTAAAATAGACAGGCCTTTCAAGATTTGAATGAGGGTGAGAGAGTCATACATAAGCAAGGGGACACCAGGATAGTACCTAGTCACCCAAACCGACCCAAGCACTCTCTTAGGAATGGGGCTGAGCCTAGCACTATCGGGCTTCCCCTCCCCGGTGGTCCTGTTCATTGATGAACCCCCACCACAGGTGAGCCCTTGCTGGCTTGGGTAGGCCACGTTCCCCTGGTGACTCCTTCTCCATTTCCATCCATGCCTGATCAATCCTTCTGCCTTGCAGAGTCTAAGGCCACTGTGCCAGACTCAGTGGCCTCCTTCGTCAACTCTCCCTTTGGACCTAAAAGCCTCAGTTCTCCTCCTGCTGGGCTCCTTTCCCAGATGTAACCAGAGCTCAGGCCCAGAAGTCTGCAAAGGAAACAGAGAGCATGGATCACCCAAAGATGAACGGACCCTGGTCTCTGCCCAAGAAACCCACAGCAGCAATTCCTTAAAAAGTACAGTGACAGCACACACAAAGTCATACAGACCCAGGTGCAGATGTATCTCATCTGCCTCTCTGTCACTGTGTCTGTAGAACAAGGATAATAAAGGTACGTCTACTGTAGTTACTGCTCCAGATCTAGATTAGTGTGCATGGCACATAGTAGGCACACAGAATTTGCTTTAACATTAGAGAGACAGCAGTCAGTCACTACCTGTTCTTAGTGATCTGTCAATCATCAATGTCCCTTCTCTTACTGAAGTCTTCCAACCCCTGCTCACATATACAAGTGGCTTTCACCTTCTGTCATTGCCTTGACAAGAACAACATTGAGAAGAGCACCAGCTGGTGGCATTCAGAGATCCCGGGTCAGTTGTGGGGATGGGGTGATGGGTGACACAGTAGCATCCTCCCCAAGAGTCACTAGCCTTGGCACAACCAGTAAGTACAGGGTACTATAAAGCCTTTCCAGAAAAAGCCATTGTCCAAGCTCCAGACTCAGCCTTCTCACACATCACCTTGTCGCCATGGCAGCTGTTATTGCCTCCACCCCCACTGAGACCCTGAGACTCCGCCCACCTTCCTCCTTCCGATACAGGGCATCCCAGGGGCACAGACAGTGGGCTGCCTTTTAATGGGGGACAACACTGCCTTCTCCCAAGCTTCCCACACACTGAGAAAGGCAGCCAACTAAGCCAGCTGTGCATTTTGCAGGCTGAAAACCACAAAAGCCATGTCACACCCCATTCCCCCAGCCTCCCAGCAGTGGTCAGCAGTGTACAGTCCCTTTCCTATCTGGAAAGGGACCCTCCATCACAGTGAGTGACACTTGAACCTCCACATCTAGAGGGTGCTGTGGAGCAAAGTAGTGGATGATGCTGCCGCCTCTGAAGAGGGTCGTGTGCATCTGCATCTGCAGCCACTGGCATGGCGTTAGTACAGCATGCACCAAAGGCAGGCCCAGGGCACCATGGGCAAAGCCAAAGAAATAAATGTCCCAAGGACCTTACTAAACAAGCAAGAGGTGCACAAGACCAGCTCCAACTAGTGTTACCAGGTAAAATATAGAATGTTTCAGTTACATTTGAATTTAATATACACAAGGAAATTGTTTTCCAGTACTGACAACTGAACCTAGAACCTTTGCACAATACTATCCTTAGCTGCTATTTTACTTATTTTGAGGCAGGATCTCACCAAGTTGTCCTGGTTGGGCTCAAACTTGCAGTCCTCCTGCCTCAGCCTTCCAGAACACCAGGATTACAAGCATGGTTCATGATGCCCAGCTACAAGTGATTTTTAAATGTAACTGTGCTCAAACAATATTGGAAACATGCAGTTAAAATCATTTGTTTATTCAAAACTTAAATTTCAATAGGGTATCCTATTTTTATTATTCTTGTTTGTTTGCTTGCTTTGTTTTTGCTAAATCTGGCAACCCTAGACCAAAATGTTGCCAGATGCAGGCAAGGCAGGCACTGACCACCTGCCAAGGTCACCTGGAATGGACACCAAGCTTTCCTATGGCGTCTACCTGACGCCCACTCCAGATGAGGACAGGGAACAATGAGAGGCTTTGACTTCAACTTGGCACTTGCAGACACACACACCGCTCAGAGCCACACTTGTGTTAAACTATGTTTTATTAATTGGTTTGTCTTCCCAAGTCTGGGCCACGTTTCCCACGCTGCTGTGTGTGGCCTGGTTCTTTCCAGAGAGGCTCCTAGAAGTCACAGCCATCCACCCAGTCACTCAGGTCCTTGCCTTGGCAGTGACGCCTCCAGGACTCCCTGAGGACAGAAAATAAGCAAAGAGACCACATCAGCTGCAGCTCCAGGCACTGCTCAGAGCCAGAAGGTGACACTGGCTCTGAACCAAGGGGAGGAAGAGGAAGGGGCCCGGGACTTGGGCAGAGAGACAAGTAAACTGTATGAGCAAGTAAGGAAGCCTCTAGAGAAAGAAGAATGTAAAGGAGGAGAATGGCCTTTAAAAATTCACTATCCAGGGGCCAGGGAGATAGCTCAGTAGAATAAGTGCTTGCCTGGGAAGCACAAGGCCCCGAGCTCAATCCCCGATACTGAAAAAAAAAAAATTCACTATCTAGGGCTGGCAAGGTAGCTCAGCAGACAAAGCACCTGCTTTGGCAAGTGCAGGGGCCAGTGTTCAATCACCAGTCCCACATGCCATTCTGGCCACTCCCCCTAGGGCGCACTGAGCCCATGACATAGTCTGGGTGTGGTGGTGTATGCCTGTAATCCCAGCGCTGGGAAAACTGCAAACAGGACAATCACCACAAGTCTGATCTGCATAGTGAGACCCTGTACCAAATACACAAATGAAAAAAAAAAAAATTTCAATACCTAGCTTCCTTATATAATCAGTTCACCCACAAGTTACTGGCAAAGACCTAGAGCCTGGAGCTCAGGTGTGAGGTTCTTTTCCTACACCTTCATGTTCACTGACGGTGGCACTGTATTACACATGGACAGCACTTTGTAGTGTACCTAGCACCATCACGTCCATCGCCCATTTATCATCACCGCCTTTCCTGTCCCCCACCCTACAGTCCTATTAGGTAGATTGGGCAGATCTTACGCTCCACTTTTCCAAACAAAAAACTCACCCTGAGATGCAAAATACTTACCAGAAGTCCACAGGTAGTAAATGACAGAACTGTGCCCATGCCCAACCCACACTGGCTGCCAGTCTGGGTCTTTCTGTTGTTGGTTACTATGGTTCACAGTCTCTTTCAGGACCATTACCTTGTTCCAGCTCACAGATGATATCTTGAGAAGACAAGCAAGACCGCACGCAGGTTCTAGGATCCCAAGTTCTCAGGAGTCCCAAGTTCTAATAACTACTGTTCTCTATATTGTCAAGGTCACAGAGCCATCAAGAGTGCCCCCAAAAGACTCCTATAAATCTATCAACAAGAGAGGGAAACTGGCCTGGTTGTCTCTTCCGTCGGACTATAAGGTCCTTGAAGGTGAAGACAAGTCTCAGCTGCTTCGCAAGCCTGACACCAGCACTGAGCCTGGCACACCTGAGTCCTCAGCCCAAGTGTATGCCATGAATGAAGATGCGCCTCCCTTCCGTCTTCTGGAGTCACTTCCTGTGTTTAGCCTCAGCCACCCTCTCAGGGGTTCTCATGCCAGGAATTTACTCCCAGTGTAGAAAATACAGTTGTTGTTTTTTTTTTAATTTATTTAACCCATAACAGAAAATTTCTTCTATTCTAGGGTGGTGGCCCCAGGCCTCAAGTGCCTGAGCCTGCATTCTCCTCTCCCTGTTGAAGTGTTTATTATGCATATTAATTATGTAAAATATTGAGTTTTGATGTGATATTTGCATGCATACACATAACATATTTTGATCAGATCCATCCATTACTCTTCCTTATATCTTCTTCCTCCCTCCCTTTGATTTGCTCCCTTTTGTCTAATAATAGTCTCCTTTCTACTTTTATTTCTTCTCCCTTTTTATTTTTAAGATTCCACATTTTAGGGAAAACATGTAATACTTGGCTTTCTAAGTTTGGCTTATTTCAATTAACTATGATCTCCAAATCCATCCATTTGCCTGCAAATGACATCATTTCACTCTCCTCTAAGGCCAACTCTCTCGTGATGTACTGGACATGGGGTATGTCCTGCACAGCCTGTCTGATCTGAGTCGGTTCCTTTAGTAGCTCACACCAACACATATCCAGAGTGGTGGCCATTTCAGGGCCCATCTCCAAGTCTTCTTTAGATTCATAGTCACTCACACCTCTTCCTCTCCCTCCTGGGTTGCATCTCACCTGTCCCTGTGTCCTTCCAACAGCCCATCACATCCAGCTCCTCTTGTATCCTTCACCTGTACATCTGTTCCTGTCAAAACCCTACATCTCTCCCTGAGATTCCTGCAAAGACCTCCACGCAGTCCACCCCTTCCCTGCTTCTACCATCTCCTCCTTCTTTCCACTCTTGAACAAATAGTCAGTGGTCTCACATTTCCTTCCCAGCCTTATCTGTCCATCTGTCCATGGTCCTGATCCTCCAGCCCCCAGACACTGCCCCCAACCTATTGTTTTCTCATCCAAAGGTATGAGTATAGGTTGGAAGGTTGGAAACTAGGAAACTCCCATCAAAGGAAGCTGGGCAGCTGTGGCACACCTGACTCAGAGGCACCAGCCTGAACCAACCAGCTCGTCCAGTGCCTCATGCAAGGCTCATCCAACTTTCTTGCCAACTCCACGGCCACCTTGTGGGGAGGAGGCTGGGAAAAGAGAAGGCTGAAAGCGAGGCGCTCTGAAGCGCCACCTCTACTTCAGGTAAAGAACCTGTTCTTTAATCTTCTATACATATTGAGCTTTATATAAAATTTAGTTTTTATATAAATGATGCCATAGGTTAAAAAATTTAGAGTCTTCTTAGACCCTGATCTGCAGAACTTTAAAGCAAACATCACAGAACAGGCAAATCTTGGAGAAGCCAGGCTCAGCTGTGTACCTGAGTGACTGCCAGTGAATGGCTTGTCATCCTCAAAACTCTGTGCCATCTGTGAACACCTCAATGGTGGCAATTCCCATCACAGAAAGAAGTTGCGAAGGACAGAGAATGGTGCCTGGGACAAAGAGGGTGCTTGCTAAAGGCTAAAGTTCTACTGCTAAGCACTAGTCCTCTCCATACTTCTTTGGAGAAAGGGTTGCATGCCAAGCTACTTACCAATATCCCAGACCCTGGGGCTCTTGAACAATCTTCATGGCACAGATCACAGTATCCTTGAGGTTAGGGTTCAGCAAGTCTGAGGTGGAAGGGACGAGAACACAATGAGGGAACAAGGGGCAGAGCCGGACATCCAGAGTGTCTCTTTCTCTCTCTCCTTCTATTTCTTTCTTCTTCATTCTCGTCTTCCTCCTCCTGCTCCTGCTCCTCTTCTTCCTGCTCCTCCTCTTCTTCCTGCCCCTGCTCTTCCCTCCTCCTCTCCTCTCCTCTCCTCTCCCAATCTCTGAAACACGGGTGCTCCCCTATCCCTCTCCTCCCTCCACCCTTTAGCTCTAGGGCCCACCTCTGAAGGGGGACCTCATTATCAGACTCGAGGAGTACCCACCCTCATTGCTTGTTATATATGTATCTCCTGGGAGACCTGCTTTCAGACAGAAATGCAGGGGGAACAAAATGAACTGGGAATAAGCCCACCCTGGTATAAGGCCCAACCACAGCCAGCCCAAGGCACAGTCCCATCCTACCAGAACAGTACACCCGGCACTGATTGTGGGAGTCCGGGGTGAGGTTCTTGCACCACCTCCGGCTGTTGATCTGAAAGATGCCATTGTTGGTGCTTCCATCTGCCTCGTGGTCCACGGCGCCTGTGTTGAAGCCACTTGTGAAGTAAGCAAGGCAGACCCCTGCACGGGTAGACACAGGCCTGATGTCAGATGACCAGGCCACTGCAGACCAGCGTACTCACAGCACAGGTCCCATATACTGTCTCCAGCCTCACTCACTTCAAAATGACCAGGGCAGATGCCATCCCATCTGCTCTACAAATGGACAAACTGAGGTTTAAGAGGGTACAGTGACTTCCCCAAGATCACATACAGCTACCACATAGCAGGAGACAGGACCAGGTCTCAGGTCTTAGAACGCTTGGGCTAGCTATCTTCACACTTTCTCCTTGCTCACCACACAGTAAGGCCCAATGTGTTTCTCAAGTTAACTTACCAGAGCTAGATCTTTAGAGGCAAGACTAGGAAGACAGGGGTAGGATATACCAAGGGGACTTAAAAATATGTCTGGATGTGACTACACTTCACAGACAGCTTCCCAAAGCTGCCACCACCTTGAAAAGTTTGGTAGTTCTGATTTGTTCAGTTTGCTTCCTAAATTTCAGTAAGGGTATCTGCTCCTGATGGCCATGATTAAGTTTATTGGGATAAGCTGGTCTGGTCTTTGGCTCCTGGCTTTGCCACTGGAGAAAAATGAAGGGATAGTTACAAGTTGGCCCCTGTTGCCTGCCCACTATGTGTTTAACTCCGGGCTGGGCCTTCTTTATCATCTCACTGATGCCTGGCTTTAAAACTTTAAAAAATGTGGTGTTATATGTTGAACTAAATTCAGAAATTTTAAATCTTTATTGCCTACTCCTTTCTACTTTGAGAATTCTAATTATATGAATATAAGTTTCTTGGTTTTGACACAGTGAACTATTATTTTTTTTAGAACTTTATTTTGTGTGTGTGTGTGTGTGTGTGTGTGTGTGGCCAGCTCAGCCCACCAGGGGGCGGGCTGGCTGGCATGTGGTGCTGGGGGATTGAACCGCGGTCCCTGTGCTTTGCTAAGCTTGTTCTAAGTAGGTGCTTTAGACCACTGAGCCATCTCACCAGCCCATGACACAGTGAACTATTATGACTGATCTGTAAATTCTTTCTTCATTTTTATTTTGGACAGTTTTTATTGTTATATTCGTTTATGTTTGTAAATAATTTATGTTCAATTTGCAATCTATTTATAAAAATAAAATAAAAAGAAAGTTAAAAAATAAAAATAAGTAAATAAAACTTCAAAAAGCTCCCCTTGGAGACCATACCCCTTGAACAAGGAGGAGAGAGAGAGGAAGCAGAGGAAGAGGAGAGCCAGAGGCCAGTAGCCAGCAAGGGAAGAGGGTTCTCACAGTCAGCCAGGCTATATCCCCGGTAGCCATCCAGGCCGAAGTCCCGAAGCACTCTGGCCAGCTCACAGCGACTGTAGACTTTGGCTTCACTGGAGGTGAGCAGACAGCTGAGCAGAGAGGCGAGGACTAGCAGTGCCATCCCAGTGGGGCACAGCCGGCTGCTGGGAGCCCAGCTCCTTCTGGCTTCCATCTGGGTGGTAGAAGTGAAGCCCCAGATACACAACACTTAAGCTGAACTTTGAGGTGGAAGGCAGCCGATCGTCCACTCACAAGCCGCTGCTCCTTGGAAGAAAAAGGGACAGGTATCTGAGTGTCCCCCTGGGAAAGGGAAGAGGGCATGGGAAGGAGGTTCCAACAGGGCACCTTAACTCCCCTGCCTCCTCCGTGAAACACCAACCTTTTTTATTATTATTTTGTTTTATTGAGAAACAAATATCAATGAGACAGCTTCAAAGCTGATTAATAGGACATTTGCAATAATTAATACATTGTACATTGTTATCGTCTTAGTATCCATAGTACAAGAAGCAGACAGGATATCCTGTCCAAACACTATTACTACAAAATCTTTCTTTTCATTGAATTAAGCGAAAGTAGCTGTGTATCTATCCCAACCATTCTATATATACAAATACAAAATGGTTCTTCCTTTGTATCCCCTTTTTTTGTTTAATCCTGTCAGAGATGGGTATTCTATTGGCATCTAAATACTATAGGTGGTTGAATTCAGCAAAACAATCCAACACAATCCAGAAGTTCACAATAGTAGTGGGTTATCGCAGAAGTTGTTGACTACCTTTTATAGCTCATCATATTAATATGGCTTTACTTTATATACCTCATTTTTATACTTTTCTGCTGGATGGTTAAGACCAAGATAAAGCAAGACCTATATAACAAGAAATGTAACTTTTGTATCTGATCCTATAACCCTGTACCGCATTTTGTAGATCCTTTGTCGGTGTCAGCCATGTGGATGAGTCATGGCCATTGCTTGACCAATTTGCTCTCTGTGAAAGTCTGAGAGAAAGTTTTCTCTCCATATGACTCTCCTTAGGCACACTATACATCATCGATCACATTCCTCTGTGGCTCCATAATATCCTTGATCAGAAAATTTGGGGCACAACTGAGTTACATGATGTTACAGTATAGGTTCTCCTATGTCTGCAGTCTTTACTGACCTTGAAAGGCTAGGGCCAAAATGTTGGATGACCTTGCATACCTTCCTTTTCTCCAATTTTTGATCTGCTAACTTAGGAGGTTGTTAACCCTCCAGAAGAGATGCTTATTATTACCCTGAAACATATGCAGTTCGGTTTACCCTAACTATCTGTCTAAATATCAAACATCTTAGGCATAACGTGGAACAGATATTTTCCATCAAGTATTGATGGAAACACCAACCTTACTGCTAAGACCCTGGAGAAGGTCCCTGAGACCCAGCTCCCTCCTTTTCAGTCCTACCCCACTCCACCATGGCCTACCCGCTGAGGAAAGAGGGAGAAAACTCACAACTTGATCTCCATAGTGCATGCTAGGCATTATTTAGTCCCCAGGCCTAAAATTTGACAAGTAGGAAATGTCACAGTTTGTACTGAGACCAAAGCTGATAAATCCAAAGCCCCCCTGGGGTGTGGCCATTGGCAGATATTCCAGAAGGGTTCAGCTGAGAGATCTCCTTGATGTAAATCCATCTCTCAGCCCAAATGCCAAGGGGCTTCTTTCCAGGGCTGAGAGTTGATCTCCTGATTTTAAGTAGCACTGCCACCCTGGAGCTCTCTAACTCCTACACACAGACCCCTGGGAGTCTCCATCCCTACCACCACTCTAAATCATCACCTTGCAAAACCCCTTCTACTTAGAACCTCCTCCATCCTGTTGCTTTGCCCTCCATCCTCTCCAGGACCACTGGGGATGTCAGCCCCTGCTGACCCTAGCCTCCTGGCTCCTTCACCTTTCCGGGGCCAGTAACCTTCACCTCCACACTGTCCCAGTCACTCACTCCATGGCCTTGTTGCCCCTGTGTCTTTGATCACCCGATGTTTCCCCATCTTTGCCACTGTCTGCTCTGATCTCTTTCTGAGCACCCTCCTATCGCTTCTTCCCACCGTTTTCACAGCCTCTGCCCACCACACCTGCTCTCCGCCTTCAGAGTCAACATGTGAAACAGCTGCACAACCTGAAAGTGGACATCCCTGCTGTCCAACCCCCTACAGATGTCACTGGGTGTGTCAAAGTGGCTAATGGTATGACCCTACAGTGAGTTCAAAGCCCATCTCTGTCCCTTAGTCTATATAAGACTTTGGACACTCTCCAAGCCTCATTTTCTTTATCCATAAAGTGAGGAAATCGATAACACCTGCCACACAAGCGTGTTAAGGGAATAAATAAGAAAAGGCATGAAAGAACTCAGCTCTTCACATTAAAAATAGACTAGCTAAAAAAAATAGACTAGGTGTTATTTCTATTATGAACCAAGATGAGCACCGGTATTAACACTTGCATGCGGTCGGTGTTCTCCCATCTCCCTCAAAGGGAGTGTGGATCATTACTGTCCCTGAACACCAAACCCAGCTCTGCTCCACCCTCTTACTCCCAGATGCCCACTCTCCCTCCTGCTGTACTGAGAAAAGCAAGAGGATCACATGCAGAATTCCCTTTCTTCCTGCCTTAGCCCCTATCCCACTTACAACTGACCCAGTCCCTCCCACACCCTCCCATCAGCAGCACCCTAGGGTGATAATGAGGTGCCTCTGTGCTATGTGGGACAATGTTCCCTTCAGGCTCTAGTTGTCATCCTTTCCTGTCAGCCCACCCTTCTCCCCCAGTCTCACCAGGACCTCACCTCTACCTGCTCCTCCTTGGCCTGTGTTGGCACCATGCTTGGTTAAGAGTCCAGCTCTACACACCTTCCTGAGCATGCCACCCTTATCTATGCTGGCTGATCTCCTCTCCACTCTTTTCATCCAAACTTCTGGGAGGAAAATTACTACTTTCTCACCTCCCAATTTCTTCCAGTGGCAGTGAATTCTTCACCATCACCACTTGCCTAAAGTGCTCTTTCCAGGCCAGTGGATCTCTAAAGAGCTCCACATATAGTGGTTCTCAACAGAATTTCAAACTGCTGATCATCTGTGCTGAAACCCTTGCCTCTCTTGGTTCCAAGAGTGGCCTCCTGTCCTGTTTATTTCTTATTCTCCTCAGTGGGTTCTGCTTCTACCAGGCTTTACGTGCTGAGATGCTTCCTAGGCCTTCTACCTCAGGCCCCACCTCTTCTACTTCAGAAGACTCCCTGGCAATTCTATTGTTAGCCCAACCTGCAGTGTGACAACCTTCCATTATCTTTTCTCAAGACTTTAGAGGCAACTGGCTCCCTTAGAGGTAGAAGGCCTGGGAAGCATCTCAGCATGTAAAGCCTGGTAGAAGCAGGCTCACTAAGGAGAATAAGAAATAGACAGAGCAGGAGGCCATTCTTGGAACCAAGAGAGGCAAGGTTTTCAGCACAGGCCACAGCATAGGCCACAGGCCCTGGGCAATCCAGCCCTGCCAGCCTCTCTTGACTCATACTTTCAATCCCAGTAATGCCACAGTGTCTTCCCATTCAGAGCCATGTTGCCATCTACAATGGTAGCCCTTTCCTTACCTCTACACTGTTAATTCTTACTCAGGCTTTAAGGGTCACCATAGGGATGAATTCCCCAGAGAGCCCTTCCTAGTGGGCCAGTGCTCCACCACTCCCACAGCATCTCGATCTTCTACCCTCCCTTTGTGCTAAGGATTTACCATACACTGAGCCATTCCATCACTAAACAATCTTGCAAAGAACAGTGGCCTGCTGGGTCTTATTTGTCTTCCTATCCTGAGACCAGGGCTGCAGGTATAATTTGACTGCTTCAGACTGTGTCTTAAAGTAAAATACACTGGAGTCGCAACTGCAGTTATGAGTCTTTCTCATTAAAGTGTGTAGAGCAGGAGGGAAAGGGACAATCCCTCGTGCTGAGCTCTTCAGATCTCTCAGACACTGGGCTGGGCCTTTTCTGGATATTTTCTAACTTAATCTTATCTAATCCTCTTAACAATTCAAGGGCACTAGGTTTAAGAGCCTAATTTATAGATGGGGAAACCAAGCTCCCTGCTACCCAGTGAGCAGTTTTGATTTTGTTAACAGCAAAATGACTTACGGGGTGAGTCCATCCTGAACATTTCACAGCAGGCACAGAGGTTTAAGTGACTCCGAGATCACAGACCTGCCAGTGGCAATCCTCAGCCCTCACCACCCAGGCCAGCATCCTCCCATCTCTGACCAACACCTGCCTTTTCAATGTTCCTCTCCAGCCAGCCCAAGCCAGGGTCTTGGTCAATAGCTCAAGGATGAGGAGGTCACAGGGGCCTCACTGATCAGGGGTCCTCCCCACCGGAGCTGAGGTGGTGGTGATAATGAGAGCAGTAGTCCAATGGCCCAAATCTCTGCTTCAGCTCAAGATATTCCCCACAATATTACTGGGATCCTGGTGCCCAGTATTAAGTGGTCAGCGGGGAAGGCAGACTCCAGCCTGACCTAGAGCCTTCTAGAACTCCCTGGCTCTGTGAGCTCAACTTCTAGAATCTATCCCACCCTCTGAGCTCTCAGGAGCCCACTTGAGTCCCTCAATTTCAAGGTTCAATGGCACATCAGGGGTAGGTAGTCCCACTTTTCTTGCCTAGGGCCACTTGCAAACACACACACACACACACACACACACACACACACCCAGTACTTTGCTTTGAGGGACTGATGGGTCTCTGTCCTCCCAACAGACCCAGGCATGGTGGCAAGTGCCCACTTGCCTCAAAGATGTCTATCTCAACACTGTACTCGGAGCTGGTGAGATGGCTCAGTGGTCTAAAGCACCTACTTAGAACAAGCTAAACTAAGCAAAGCCCAGGGACCACGGTTCAATCCCCCAGCACCACATGCCAGCCAGCCCCGCCCCCTGATGGGCTGAGCTGGACACACACACACACACACACACACACACACACACACACACACACAAATAAATAAAAATTTAAAAAAATAAAAAATAAAAAACACTGTACTCTTTTGCCTAGCACAAAGATCTTCCTCCTTAATTCTAAGCCCCAAACCTTCCTCTTCCTCTATCTGGTTGGTGCTTACTCAGTGTGGCTGCACAGGCCAGGATCCCAGTTATGCTATGGGCCATAAAGCTTGAGGGATAGGCAAATGAAATAAAGGGACTTGTACCCAGGTCTGTGCCCCCCAGGAAACCCCATGATTG